GGTTGAGAAGACGCTAGACATACCGTAGCGAGATGAGAATGCGGAAATCGCCTGAGTACGTAGATGATAAGTTATTATGATGCAGAAACTGGGGAGAGAGGGCGCGTGCACGGAATGAGTTCAGCGTCCACGTGACGACAGTATATGTTGCGACCGATTCGGCTGCCAGCAACATTATGCCCGAGTTGCTTGGCACGTCAGCGGCACATGGTCCGGGGTCTATGTTGGTGGGTCCCGCCAGATGGGGACGACGTCCCGCTAGAGCGCAGACCAATATGAGACGTCCCCGCAATACCCAACCCTGCTGGGTATGCACCTGAGGATGGGCCGCCCAAAAAGCAAGGGGGGCGGGAAATACCCGGAAAATGGGTAAATCCCCCTTCGGCAAGGCCTCAAAGGTGTATCATTTGACGGGGCAAGTTCTACCTAACAACGACGTGCCGAAGGGGTGGTTGAGGTGCATACTCGTCAATTTCATGTCATCACAATGCAAACTATATATAATGTCCTTATCTGTGGCAAAGATAATCATACTTCCAACATCGGAACATTTCCCCTTCCGACTTCGTTCGAGAAATGCGGGAAAGCAAGGAAGTTCGGAAGGACAGCCTAATTCAGGACAGGCCTTGGCAATGTGCATGAAACTGTGGGAATCTGCGGTCTGGTCCAGCGCTTCCAGCGTCCAGGTTGCTGTGCTTCAGGTGCCTCTCCTCCATTCATACCGCATGCATATTACCAGCTCCCGGAAGACTCGGTGGTTACCTCCCTCGATCTCTTGCGCCATGGATCGCCTGTCGACGCTGAACTCGTATGTCTCGTTGGTCGAGCGAAAAGTCAGCGCGAGGAGTGCTGATCCGTCGTAAGTACGGTGGTGTTATTTGTTTGCTTTCGCTCACCTCATCATGCCTACTAGCGTGATAATCCTGTTTGGATGGTGTATGTCCTCGATCTATCGGCACTTTCCCCTCTTACGAGCGGATACACCCTAGTGGACGCGCAACAGAAACATCTCTTGAAATATGTCGATGGCCTTCAGAACATTTTTCCGTCGTCCGCAGTCGTGGTTATCAAGGCAACATCCTCGTATTACTTTTCATCTCAAAGGACATTGGTAGGCTACCTCTTATGTCTCTCATGCACTCATTCAATCTGTTTGTAGGAATCCGTATTAGCACCTGCAGCCAGCATTCTACAAACACACGCAGCCAATAGGTCCAACTTCAGCGGCGTACTTATACACGTGCTATCCAACGGTACGTAATAAATAGCATGAAAGCGACTGATTTGACAGGATATCTGCACTGATCAGGCGGAGGTTTTCAATTCATGACGTTGCGCAAGATCTTGGCAAACATGAACGTCGGGAGCGAGCCTTCTGTGCGAGTACAAGTACCCACCGCACTGGTTATGGACTCGACGCCAGGACACAGCGGATTGGCATCTTCAGTTGCGTCGTGGGCACCCAAGAATCCGGTATTACGATTGCTCTCAATCCCTCCAATTTCAATGATCTACGGGATATTCTATGCGATCAACTCATTGACCGGAAATCCTCCGATTTTCGATGAACTCCGGTCGTCGCTGAACACCGTGAACCTGCTGCCCACAGTCACGGACTGTCAAGAGCCTTCAGCATCTCCACGCTTGTATATCTTCTCCGACAAAGATCACGTCGTTCCCGCGTACAGCGTTGTCAACCACATGAACGAGGCCAAAGCGCGCGGCTTACACGTGGATCACGAGAGATACGAGCGCTCGTCACACGTATCGCACCTTCGAGTTGACCCAGAACGATACTGGGCCGCAGTGAGTCGGCTCTGGTCTAAAGCGATGGAACTACACGCGTTGCCAACCGCTGTCCTGTAGATATCCTTGTATAATCGTATTCTTGGGTCTGTGTGGTTGGGATATATCTTGTGAAACCATGAAGCAGCTTGAGGACCGTATGCCACACGATATATTACATATGCAGCAATTTGTGGGCAGAAATAAGGGTATAGGTAGCAAGGTCCATCAACCCTCTCTAAAGCTGCGAGTGTTCATAGACTTTTCACAGGAAGAGACCACCGCAAAAAGTGTTGCAGACGTGTCTCGGTGCAATCCGGTCTCGTAATCTACCACCACCATCTGATGCAGGCGAGCGTCCATTCGGGCGTATGAGTATTGATAGATCCATTGCGACGACAAGCAATCCTCGCGGATACGTTGTATATAACAGCGATATCAGTTTCGTTTAACATAAACGCCTTGTGAATACATGTGTTGTGAGCATCGTGTGGACAGGTACACAAGATTTAAGTGGTGCACTCCGAACACTTGCATCGGAGACCCCCGTGAAATACATAACTCGAATAAGAAGTGGATGGTAAGATCTGTGGTACCCGGTGTAGTACGTATTTGTACTACACCGAGTACAGCACAAATGACCACCCGTACTGGATGCGGGTGTCAACCTCGTGAATGCTGTACTAGCATTACGATTGCTAGCATACGAGAGCGGGGAGTTTAAGTGGACGTCGACGCGGATCGTTTAGAATCAACGTAGGGTGAGCATGACACTCTCGTGAAGGATTTGATCGAGCGAGCAATACCTTATAGCATAGGCGACGAACATGATCCGCCCGTGAAGCACCCCAGAAAATAAGCACCGAGCTCGCCACATCAGATTCCGCTGTGATGGATGCGCCCAAAGCATGGGGGTTATGAGTGCTGGGTATAGATGACAGTAAGGGGTGTGTTCATGTGGGCTGAGAGTTACATCAAAGGTTCATCGCACACCACGGCGGAATAAACAAAAGATTTTGAAGCGGGAGCATCCTTTTTAATAATTCCTTTTGTGTGCGTGGTCCCGTGAAATGCATATGGCAGTCGAGAAGACGTGGTGAATCCGAACCTTTGTCGCGCGGGTGCAGCATGTGCACCCGGACATGTTGTAACATCTTCGTAGAGGCTCTGTGAATCACAGAAGGCCGTTTCTCCTGTGTCTCTTGTTTCAATGTATACAGCGCGGATATTTTGGGAGGACTGCATTGCAGCCAAGGAAACCTCTTCATGGGTTCGACTGCCACAATACTCACGCACGGAACGTGGGTAAGCTGGCGCCAAGCGCCGACCCCGACCCCCCGTCGGGATTAGGTTGTGCAGCGGCAGGGAAGGCTACGGATGCCACGTGGGCTTCCATAGGCGCCTGGCCTTGCCCAGGTTCGGAAAGTGTCATTTCCTTACATAAGCACATTGCGGGCGCTAATACACTCACGTAACTGGCTTAAGTCTCCCACAATCACTGTAAATCGAAGCATGGCAGCTCGGCGGTATGATCAATCAGATTCCAGCATTTACACTCACTACTTACATCAGCTTTTCCTTTAAGCGCCTGCAGTAGCGGAACGCACCTCTCGCAATTACATCGGCGTTCAAACTCTACCTGCCTCAGGGTATGGTCTCGACCGCGAATCTGACGACGATTGCTGGCGGCTTGTTAGGTTCAGGAACACGATGCAAGACCGTGCTGTCCAAATGCTGTCCCCGTGTATCTCCGTCAGCAATCCACCAGCATCCGCGCCGATGCTACCACACAATCTTCTTGGGCGACAGCTATCGGCTTCAACAACTGGGTGCAAGCAGGGAAATGCAGATATGACAACTTCTGCGCCATATGGGTTCGTGTTTGACTCGCGACTGCCTTGCGCAGTACGTTGGGAACCGGCCATGAACTGCTTTGGTTCTGACCGGAAGCGCTCTCTGTAGTCGATGCCCCTATCACATTACTTCACGCATGCTGGTGGCAGTCCCGCCTTCGACCTGACCTCAATATCTTTTGGTGCTTGGTCAACGTCCCCCAGCTCCTCTACCATTCATGTCTGGGTCACCCGAACCGTTGAACGGCTTCCAAGAGCTGCGTCGACCGGCGGCGTCCACTGTAGTGCAGCGCGATTACAGATTTTGGCTAATTTTCCTTGCGATAGCGTTCGCGACGGCCTTGACTGCGCTTGAACTCGTAAGTCTCCGACTACATTCATTACCATATCCTGACCGGACATTTTTCCCAGTCCGCCGTATCCACTGCTCTACCCACAATAGCTCATGACCTCAAGGGAACAAGTTTCCTATGCGTTGGATCATCATATGCGCTCTCCGCGACCGCATTCATCCCCTTGTGCGGAGGATTGGCCCAAGTACGCGCGTCATTCGGTAGAACCGCGTCGGCTGACTACTTGCAGATATTTGGACGTAGGATCGTGGCACTTGGATCACTGCTCATAATGGCAGTTGGCAGCGCTCTATGTGGTGCGGCCACCAGCATGAATTTCCTCATAGCTGGTCGAAGTGAGAAGAACCGACCTGTATAGTTCCTTCCGTAGGTTTCTGAATCTATTCGCAGCTGTTCAAGGAATAGGAGGAGGTGCGATCGCGTCAATAACCGCCATCATCATATCTGATCTGGTGCCATTGCAAGATCGTGGCGCGTTCAATGGGATCATTGGAATGTGAGTGATTCCTCTCTTCAATTATTTACGACAAAAAAGCTCATGTAATTGCTCTCAGCGCATGGTCACTAGCAAGCGGGATTGGGCCTATTGTTGGCGGAGAGCTTGCACAGGCAGGGCAATGGCGATGGCTTTTTTGTAAGTCGTCTTCTACGCGTTCAACAAACCATACCTCACTCGTTCTCTGTAGATCTGAACATTCCCATTTGCGGCATCGCCGCTCTTCTCATGTTTCTCTTCCTGAGAGTCCGAACTCCTCCTGGGACAGTCCGAGAGAAGCTCCGAAGGATGGACTGGTTGTGAGTGCGGCACCCTATATCTGACCTGAACTCGACGCTGATGCGCTTCACGCAGCGGAAATTTGCTTGTCATAGCAGCAACGACGTCAACGATCATCGCCTTGACCTGGAGCGGTATCAAACATGCATGGAGCTCTGCTTCGGTCCTCGTCCCCCTCATCCTCGGCCTTGTTGGACTCTTGGCATTCCTGGCGTACGAGTCAGCGATCCCGAGGGAGCCAGTGGTAAGCCTGCTAATACTGGCGCTGGTGGGTTTGGATCAATCGATTCACGCTTGTCAGGTGCCTTACTCCTTGATGAACTCGCTTACGGGCTTCAGCGGATATGTCCAAACGTTTATCGCGCCAATTTTGATGATGGGAGTTACCTGTAAGTTTGTGCCTCTGCCGTATGTATATCTTTGCTGAAAGGTCCGGATTCAGATTATATGCCAGTTTACTTTCAGGCTTGTAAGGGCGCCAGCCCCGCACAAGGTGGCTTGGATCTTCTCGCTGCGGCTCTTTCGCTAGCTCTGTGTGGGATCATCGCCGGTGTATCCGTTCGGAAGACGCAGAGGTATCGCCCGCAACTGTGGCTTTCCTAGACGTTCATGATCATCGGAGTCGGACTTCTGACGACACTCAAGGCCGACGATCCCTTAGGACGAGGAATTGGATTCCCTGTCGTCGCTGCTCCAGGGTTCGGCATATTGGCCGCGACGACATACTTCCCTGTGCTCGCTCCATGTATGTCTGGGGATTTATTGCAAGGTAATCTTCACTAATTATTACTCAGTATCAATCTCTCAAAATGCGTTGGCCCTTTCGTACTTCATGTTCCTAAGGAACTTCGCTCAAGTACGTTCCTCCACCCGTTGCTTTGCTGTTATGAGAGGTGACACATCCTAGGTATGGGGTATCACCATCGGCGGGACGGTGCTTCAGAATCAGCTCCTCAAACAACTCCCTGAGAATCTCCTGTCGCAAATTCAAGGCGGGACTGCATTGGCCTACTCCGCAATTCCCGAAATCACTAAGCTTCAGGATCCCGTGCTGAAGGAGGAAGTACGCGTAGCCTTTGCAGAGAGCCTGAAGGTCATCTGGCAGGTTATCCTCGGGATCGCTGGCATCGGACTGCTTTCCAGTTTGGTCATGAAAGCGTTGCCTCTGCATGCGTCGACCGACATCGAATGGGCATTGGAACAAGACAAGCAGGTTAGCGGTCAGGATTCGGAGCTGGCCGACCTCGGGAAGGCTTGATTATGTATCGACTTGACATTGTTCATGGGCGACCGACTCCGCAGAGGCCCGTGACCTACTAGTACCACTACTCGTAACATGTCGTGTACATCTCACATTTGCATAATCAACAAACCTCTTTTGAAACAAGCGAGGGACTACAACGACCTCGTCACCCAAAACATAAGTTGCGAATGACAAAGTATACATGGTGGAAAAACTGCTTGCAATCTTTGACCGCATCTCTGACCTCGTTGAGGACGTAGCAAAGATGACCTGTGGCCGACGACCTGCACCAAATCTGCTCAAATAACAGACATTTTCTCCCAGTTTTTGTTAAGTGTCATCCGTGACCTAGCGGGTTGAGATCGAGAGCCCATAAGCGGCGGTGCATCGGCTCGAGTTGGGACTGCCAGACCCGAACCCTTCTCAGTACGGTCCAATTATCGCAGTGTGCCTGCATGTATGTACGAATGGTTGGACGGTCATATCGATATAAAAAATCCAGGTAATGTATCGCCGTGATATGGAGGGAATATCTTGCCAGCAATCCTTTGAAGCTTTTTGGCATCTCGCAATCCATATGTCAGCAACCTGCAGAGCTAGTGAGTGTCACAGGCGTTGGCCAGGAATGGAATGAAGGATCGAAGCTGCTCCACGCAGCTTCGATCCTCCAACCCGAGGCAGAGGCTGTAGCGTGTTCATGTTCTTTAATGGCATGATGCAATGGAATCTAGGTGTATACCAGAATGGAATTTGTTCGACGAGGTCAGGATCCCACTTATCACGGCGCCTCTCAGTGACCATCTGAGGATTTCGCCTATCGCTGAGTCGAGGCCGAGTGGTACGAGGCGGTCTGTCCCCATTAAATGGGTTGTACCACATCGGAGCCTCCGGGCTCACCCTCGGATCGTGCCCAAGGACGGTCGGCCCTTGGGGGCCAACCGTCTTTCACCCAAACCCACGGGAGATGCGTGTGTAGGTGCACATATCATACACCCTTTGTATCGTACGACAAACCAAGATGTGTTGTGTGTGAAGTGCAGGAGTGCTGATCTCTTTGAAAATGGCTATGATAGGTATAGCATCGTTGATGATACTGTAAAGACGATGAACTCACTCGTCGCTCAATAAGCAGAGTTGTAACCAACTCTATTCTGCTCGTAGTGCGGTAGGGTAAGATCAAGTACTGATCCCCGCCGCCTACACTCCACTATATATAATACATCGGGTATTCTATCAGTCCGGAGGTGACTCGTCTCGAAAGGGGGCGCAGTCGCCAGCGCGACCTCCTGTCAGTGCCTGTTCCTGTCCCTGGATCAGGAGGACGCGACAAAGGTAACTCCGTTATAGATACATACATTCCGTATCATTCAGCCTAGCTTATCGACAGCCTTTGATTCGTGGTTCATGATAATGTTTTGCTCGCTGGGCACCGTCGTCGGCAGTCGGTGCTCGTATCGTCCTAGACGCAATGGCTCGTTTAGTCGATATACATTCCCGCGACCCTTCCACAAGAATTTCGGCCCGTCCACGCGCGAATGAAATGATGTCATCAAAGTGTTGGTGCCGAGGTTTTGCTGGCCCTCTTTGGTGACCCATCTGTGACACGGGTCTTCGCGTTCAATCACAACGGCTCCGATCACAAGTCGCTAGAGGCAGGAGAGCACAAAATAAAAGTCTCCGAAGCTACATTCTGAGCGGATTTACGGCATACATGTGGCGCTACGTTGTGAGCAGCAACATCAAGCTCACAACCGTGATATTGATTGATAGATGAGTCGCTCCCGGACTTGATTTTGGCGTTATCTGAAAGGTATACAGTGAGAATTCACTAGTTGTCACATTCCGTACTACTACTCAGTATCCGTAACGCATAAGCTGGATAAATGACGGTATATTACGTCTATCAAATCACACCGTGGACGCTGATTTTTGCATGCTGAAGTCTTCGGCCCCATCCAGCTCCACCTCCTGCGTTATTCTTACAGACAGTGGTTTCATCGCAAACTCGTCTAAGCGTACATCCTGTCCAGGGCATGATCCTCTTTGCAAGGTATGGCCGCTGCTGAGACCTCGCGATGATGGAGGTTGACTGAGAGTGGTCTCATAAATGTTTGTTTCGTGACTGGCACCCATTCCAACATGAACAATGATGAGACAGAATGTGAATGAAACGAGGGGTGCACTCTGTTATTGCGTTATAATCGGTTTGCATCTCTGAAAAAGAAGAGGCTTACGGCGTCCACGGTTATGTACTGTATGTTGGACTTCATACTGTAGAATATCAGTGTCAAGACGATATCCGTGCTTTCAACAGTTAGCTTGTATTATGAGGTGGAATCTGAATGAAGTGGCTGTATACATACGTGGAAATGGCAGCGCTCTCAACAAGAATTCCTGCTACATCCTTTAATACTGTCAAATATGCACAAAGGTCAGCAAATATAGCTTACCATAGCGCTTCTCTGCGTCTGGAATGCCTTGACTTTACGCGTTGTAATCCAGATTTTAGTTGCAATGAAGACTTTGGTTGACCGTGAGTAATGCTGATGTATTGGCAGTGATGATGGTGCATCCTACCGGTACAATACACGTTAATTCTGATTTGTTTCATGTCAATATAATGGACAAAAATCTAGCATTATGTGCTTACATAACCGATAGGGAGAAACCGGTGATAATCACGCGACCTCGGTTTGATTTCTCAGTTACATGGTCTCGCGAGAAAGGCACGGAACAGTACCTAGCTGCGTCTGGAACAGTACCGTGGGGGTTGGCTTGAAGGTTGCAAAGTCCATTACAATCTTCACGCAGACACCTACAATATGTGTTAGGCCTCCAGTTAATACGTACCGTGCATCTTAACATACCAGAGAACGCAATTAAGGTGAGAGTAGGAGGGATACACACCCAATGATTGGGCTTCCAAATGATTCGAAGGCGATATATCTTATGGATAGGTTAGATATAACTCCGCATGCAAGGGAATACTACTAACCAGAAATGCATCGGCAAAACCTACTTGAAAGCACCAGATTGCTGTTTTGACGACACCCTTCTTTTCCGCAATATTGGCATAGTAAGACGTGGAACCCTTGGATGAAGGCGCTCTTATAAACGCCTCGAACAAGCGAACAATGTCAAGGATCCAATGCTTATGGGGTCGGTGAGTCACAGTGAAAACTCGATGAAGAAGTATGAGTATAATACCATGGTAGCCAACACGAAGAGCACCAGGGATGCACTCAGCAAAGTAATACTTGGACGTGGTGCCGCTCCATGAGTCCTTGTTTGTCTCCGCCGCTTGTAAAGGAGCACATATTGGCAGGCCACACAGAACACATTATAATGAGTGATAACTACCGTATAATGTAGACTGAACCAGAATGCCAGCCAATTCACTTTCAGCGAGGGAAAGATTCGCCATATCACTAGTAACGTGCACCACAAGGAGTACACGCTGCGCTGGTGCAATCCTTTTAAGCGAATTGCTCCTCCTCCGTACCCAGACCTTTGCATCATATGTAGCAGCATTTTACATCATGTCAAACTCAAGGCTTCCCGAGTATATTGGTGGAATCTCACATGTTTCCCGGAGAGGAGCAAATATCATGAAGTGACACAAGGTCGGATAGCATGGCAGTCATCATGCCTGCTTGGACAGCACTATTTCTGGCCGGACAGCATTCGTTGCAGTTCAAACATCACATATGACTTCTTTTTCCACATCCCCTTATGATATGAGCGGGTGTAAGGCACCTCTAGAGACTTTGATAGCTCCCCAGTCATCTTCAGTACGCCACAGTAAAGCCGGTGGGCTCTACATGTATGAAATGCAGTTCGTGTGAACCAAATTCCATTCCACAAAACCCCAGCACTGTCATCGAGTCTCGGCTGCATCGAGCCGCGGCTGCATCTCGAACAGGCCAGGAACGTGTGAGTACTTCTAGATCAATAGATGCAGTCCTAGATAGGTACTATTATCCGATGGATGAAGGCTCAAGTGATCCTATATACGATGGGATGTTTGTCGAGTTTCACAGGTTTACGAGAGACGGACACAAACAATGCAATGGCACAAGGTCAGATAGCATGGCAGTCATCATGACTGTTTGGCAAGTACTACTTCTGGGTTTGATACTGGAGGGCATCATAGGTAACCTTTCGTTGCTGGCGAACGGCAAAAACACGACAAGCGTGATATATCCAAAGGATCAATATGGCAGCTCCCACCAATACCACGACCCCGTGAGCAAAAATGGGTGCAGAGTGCTGGCAACGGTCTGGAATTCATCGTCGTGAGGTGACCAAGATGCCCACGATGCAGGTCAAGGAGGGCGTCTTTGAGTTCATTTACACGGCGTAGGAGTTTCACCGGGCCGCTCGCCCGCTCGAGAAATGGAGTGGACAAGAATAAGCTCTGGCTAGTGAAGGTTGATGCCTGGAACTCTGATGCTGGGATATAGATAACATAGCAGTACAACTCCCAAGGCCGTAACTTCCTTTCCAAATATGCACTCGATCCATAACAGACACGATGGGTCTCATGGGAATCTAGAAGTCAATTGTAGCACGCGCGATGCAGTTTCATGTTGAGCTTTCGCGTGACGGCTTGGTCTACCTCTGCCACTTTCGTATATAAATGCGCTGGTTGTTCGTGTACCATGGGGATACCGGCGACCTGATTCCCTGTGTCAGATACGATGAACGATTTCAGAACTATCCCGTTCAGTCCCCCACCAGAAACCCAAGGACTGTCGAGCGCCACGTTTTCCGTGCCTCCTCTTGATGGATCGTTCACCATCCTCCAGTGTTACGACTGGCACGCCAGCAACTCTTCGCAGCACCCTCTCTTTGTATATGCCGAAAATGATCTCACCACGAAGACGCTTTACTGGGCTGACGTTGTTCATGCAAGCCATCGCGCCGGCCGCATTGTTAGCGATCATGTCGGTGTCAAGTCAAAGAAGCCCGTGGTCGCGATCTTGGCGGGTGCAGGTCCGTGTTCATTCAGTTGTCCTGGGCGATTGCTGATCATGGCTCCAGACATGATCACATACTTCACCTGCTGCGTGGGTATCATGCGCGCCGGATATACGTTCTTCCTGATTTCCCCGAGGAACTCGGCTCCTGCAGTACGCAAGCCGAATGTTGTGAGTCGCATGAAGGAGCTCATTCTCATCTGTAGCTTGCACATTTGCTCTCGTCTGTTCGCGCCGACCATGTTCTACTTGGATCCGAAAGCATTTTCTCTCAATTGGCGACGGCTGCGTTCTCTTCTATGTCGTCAGATTCGGTGCCCTCGACCTCGATCATTCCCATGTTCAAGGATCTCTACATGCCCACAAATCTTCACGAACCTCTACCCGATCCCAAAGTCGGCCCCAATGATCCCGTGTTCATGCTGCATTCTTCGGGTACGCCGACGTTGAATTATCACTGTGGATTACTGATAACCAAAGACGGTCAGGATCGACCGCGTTCCCAAAAGTGATTACTTGGACTCATTTCTCCATGATCAGGGTTGCTGGTATTCCTGGTGAGCTCTTCTGTGTAGGAAAGAAAAGAGTGCCCGTACACTAATCACGATGCTTAGCTCTGGGAGAGATCGATTTCGCGGGGATTAGACTCGGTTGTCACTCAGTGCCCATGTTTCATGCCTTGGGTCTCACGATCTTGTTGTGGGCGGTGAGTGATGGTCACTCCCTACTGTATCCCATGTTGCTGTAACTTGCAGTAGCCGGCTTGTGGTTTTGTTATCAGCACTTTTCCGCCGGACCGGGTGATCCAAGGCGCTATTCATACAAAATCTGAAATCGTATTTTCGGTACCGTCATTTATAGAGGTTCGTCCAACGTTGTTTTCGAGTGGATAATCAATGACGCCGCCCTCCAGGCTTGGGTTGACTCTCCGCTCTATGTGGAGTATCTTGCGGGTATCAAGGGTGTTGTGAGTAATGGATCCTGTGTCAAGAAACTTGCACTCAGGCTCCTTATTCGATCAGCTTTACGGTGGAGGGCCACTCAATAAGGCAGTGGGGGACGCCTTGACTGAGAAGGGCGTGGCAATCTACACGCTTTACGGAAGGTGTGCTTACCATATGTGTCAGATGATCTATTCTAACGAGATCAGCACGGAGACGACTGTGATGAACGTCATACTTCCCAGTAGGTTGCTTATACCCCGTCGTGTCGTGAATCATAATCTGATCTCTGCCGCTCAGGAGATAGACCTGGCTTGGACTGGCAGTACTTCCGGTTCAGCAAGCACGTCAAGCCTCACTTCGTCGAGAACGGCTTTGGCCAGGTGGAGTTGGTGCTGGTCGTACGTACTTCCCGCACAGTAGCACAATTCATGCTCACTCGAGAGCTGTAGGCAAACCCTTTGTCTGTTCCCGTGATAACGAACACGAAGGTCAATGACGTCGACGCATACGCTACAGGGGATCTGCTAGAAAGACATCCCACAAAACCTGATTTATGGAAGATATTCGGTAGGGCCGACGATCAGATCATGCACAGCACCGGGGAAAAGGTTTGTCTTCCCTCCCGGGCGTCTGTGTCTCGTGTGGTACACTTACTGCCTGCCACCGTATAGACCAACCCAGGACCGCTTGGTTGGCATATAACCTCGTTTAGTGGGCCTCGTACTTATCTCCATTTCAGAGACGATACTCAATCAAGATCCCCATGTCGCCGCGGCGGTCATGTTCGGTCGGGAACGTTTCCATGCTGGTGTCATAGTTGAGCCGGTATCGCAGGAGAGATTCGACCCCAGCAATGAGACAAAGCTTGCCGAGTTCCGAAATAAAATCTGGTAAATGGGCAACTCACCTGATTCTCGGCATGGAGCTCACGCGGCTGATTACGCATCTGCATGCAGGCCGAGCGTAGAGCGTATGAATCAGTTTGCGCCTCAACATTCGCGCATCTTCAAAGAGGCCAGTTTCGTCTAGGTTTGGCTTGTGCTCATGCTGACTGACGTTGTAGATGATTCTGGTGGCTTCCCCAAATAAACCTTTCATATACTCTGCAAAGATGACGGTCAGGCGCCATGGGGTCCTCGCAGAATACGTGGACGAAATTGACTCGGCCTACGCTGCCCTCGAAGAATCCACACAACTCGAGATCCAGGCCCCCGCCAGCTGGTCTGACAACACAGCGATGCTTTTCTTACGATCCCTCGTTAAGAATGTACTAAAGCAGGATATATCTGACGAAGAGGACCTCTTCGAGTACGGTTGCGACAGGTACGTCGACCTTGATCATACCGCCACTCTAGATCTGATCGAATACGGACCAGCCTTCAAGCGACGTGGATTAGGAACACCCTGCTTCGGGCCCTGCGTCAAACCACGGGACTTGACACGCGATGCGTATCATCTAACTTAGTTTATCAGCATCCTTCAATTCATGCTCTCAAAACGTTTGTAACAACGTTTGCTGGGGGGGCACTGTCGTCAACAGCCAATGCTAGCACCGTCCTCGATGCGATGACTCGCTTGGTTGACATGCATTCTCGCGATTTGCCTACACACACTACGGTACGACCACGCGCGGATAAGAACCATGTCGTCGTGGTGACGGGTACGACGGGAAACCTCGGAGCCGAGGTTTTATTGGCCGTCCTGGATGATCCAATCGTAAAACGGATTTATGCGTTTAACCGTAGCGGAACCGGTCACAAGTCGCTCCTCGGGAGGCAGGAATCCATAATTCAGGCACATGATCTAGAACCAAGCCTTGTGCGGTCGCCTAAAGTCACCCTGTTGACCGTGGACTGGAATCGCGCGGACTTCGGGCTGAGTTCGGAGATCCTGACGGAGGTGCGTGAATTCCTCAGGCTTCCGTGACCGCGGCTGACGTTGCGCATGTCGCAGATCCGCGACTCCGTGACCCACGTCATTCATAACGGTGAGCCAATAGTCGTCTGTCTCTGTGCGACTCGCTGACCGCGGTAATGATCCAGCATGGAACGTGCATTTTGGGGCGGCCTTGTCGTTTTTTGAGGCGAATGTCCGTGGCTTGCGCAACCTCATAGATTTGTCGCTTTCCTGCGGTGCACAATTATGCTTTGTCAGCTCCATCGGGGTGGTCAGTGGTACGTGTATGACGCACAAGGTTGGGCATTGCGTTAACCTTAGCATCTAGGGGAAGGAGTCGCAGAGCCAATCCAAGAGACGTATGTCGACGCGTCAGTGGCCTTGAGTAATGGCTATACGCAATCCAAATGGGTTGGATAGCGCCTTCTCCAGATTGCCTCAAAGAAAAGCGGTTTGAGTGCTGTAACGATCCGCGTTGGACAGCTGTCGGGGGCAAAAAACGGCGCCTGGAAGACGTACGCCATTCGTTATTGCTCACTTGCTATGCTTCTTACACATCCCCTTAGCACCGAGTGGCTTCCTGCGCTTGTGAAGTCGTGTCAACAGCTGGGCTGCATGCCATCCATGCAACAAGTAAGGTTCTATTCCATGCCATATAACGTTGCTTTGACGTGTCTGCCGTTTCGTTATAGAACCTTGCCTGGTTGCCTGTCGATATCGCAGCCCGTTGCATAGCGTCTATGCGCAAGGCTTCTCCCGGTGTTGTTCATCTCGTACATCCCCGTCCGGTCCCCGCTTCGTCCGTGTTTCGGGCCATCGCGAACTCTCTTAATCTCGACACCGTGCCATACGATGCGTGGCTCAGCAGACTAGAAGGCGCTACGGATCCTTCGACCACTCCTGCCCTCATGCTGTTGGATTTTTTCAAAGAGGAGTGGAAGGAACCGAGGCTCTCGATGGAGCGTGCTTACGAACAATGCGACTTCCTGTCGGATACAACGCAGATCCGTGATCTGGGGCCGGAGGAAGCGGTGAAGTGGATCGCCTTTTGGAAGCGCGTTGGTTTTCTTGCCGCTTAGGCGAAGTCGGCGCGAATGGCACTCAGTGACTTGTATGATATCACGCAGAGGTGTATACAATCAGTGGATCAGATGTCTATTAATTGCGCACAATCGTGAACGGGTGGCCATCGGCGCATCACAGAACAGCTGGAGGAGAGGCACACCACGGTGTGCATCGAGACCTGCGACACGGAGCCTTATCCGGCAACTCCAAGGATATTTGGACGGCGCGTGGACAGCAAGTGATATCTGATCGTAAGGCAGAATCGAGATTGAGACCATAGAGCTAGGATCTTTCGGAGAAAGACCTGCTCATCAGGAGAGTGCACCGAGCAGGAGTCGGCGGACTTGATTGATCTTGAGGCGAGTTTGTTGAATCAACGGTGGCGGGATGTGGTGTAGAAGGAAAACTGTGAAAACCGTGGATTCTGGATAGACAGCATCAGCGAGGTCGTCGCTTTGTGATAGCCGGCATGAACGAACGCAATGAGCAAGGAGCACAATGAGGGTGCGAACGTGGTCGCTCAAGTGCAGGTTTCAGAACGGAACAAGCTCACCAAAGACCAGAGTCGACAAACATCTCAGCCAGATATTGTGAGCGCATGCTGAGCCTCTCGACAATCTGCAGACAATCAGGGCATGTTTCCCGCAGCGGGAAACATGACCTGGTGAATCCCGCGCCTGACGACGACCCTCTGGGCGATCAATCTGACATTCGCGCTCGACAAAAGCGAGTTCAGGTAGTGTTTTCAGGGGAATAGAGAAGATCGGACTGGACTCGAAGGTAATCAATAGAAAGGGACGTCGATGTGACGCATGCAACACGGGCGGAGGTAGGTTCGCGCTTGCAGTCCGCAGAACGGTTTGAAAGTGGACATGAATAGGTGGATATGAATAGGTGTGGGCATTGGCGCACGTTCGGAGATTATTGCTATCGGCATCTGAACACTGCCCGCAAAGGTCCCACGCTTCCCTCTCACTCTCACTCTTGCCTTTCTGGTCTCCTTGTCAAAATGCAGGCTCTTCCGAGCGCCCCGAGAAGCAGAACGACTTCGCGACCGAACGCGCATGAACGGAAGCGGAAAGTAATACTGAAAACTGCCGCAACTGCCAAAATCCTCCTAAGCTGGCGGGCCCCTGCATTCGGAAATGAGAGACCCAGGACACCTGCGTTCCTCTTCCGTGCATCGCCGGTGCGCTCGTGCTTTACACGCACTTCTGGTTGAAGTGCCACAACGACACCAGGTTCTCGGGGAGTTGGAGCCCGACCGTTGAGCACCTTGCCCGACCTTCCCCAGCTACTTTTCTCTGCTCTACCCCCGTCGATCGCTTTCGTCTCGTTATCTCTCCGAGGGTCCACAATGTCTGGCAACCACCGCGACCCTGGCAATGGGTCCACCAGAGGACTTGACTTCTGGCTCGCCTTCATCGCGTGCATGGTCGTTGACCTGCTATCCGCCCTGGACCTTGTAAGTCTCGCTTCAGGTCGACATACAAAGCTCACGCGGATGCCGCCTAGACCGCCGTCTCCACGACTCTTCCTACCATCGTCAGTCACCTGCACGGCCAAGACTTCATCTGGGTAGCAAGCGCGTACACAATCGCATCCACCGCCGTTCTGCCCCTTTGCGGCGGCGTGGCCTCGATATTCGGTCGAAAGCCGGCTCTGCTCTGTTTCGTCGCATTCTTCTCGGCCGGGTCCGCCATCTGTGGAGCAGCACAGAATATGCCGATGCTGATCGCCGGCAGAGGTTCGTTCGGTCTTGCCATGCATCCCAAAAAGCTCGCTAGCTTGTCTGAATTGTTTGACTCCAGCCATCCAAGGTTTTGGAGGCGGTGGCTGTCTCGCTACCACGGAAATCATCTACGCCGATAGTAAGCCCGGTCCGTTCACTGCGCCGGAGTCGACTCACTTCCTCGCCCGTGCTAGTGATCCCGCTGCCCGAGCGAGGCAAGTTTCAAGGCATCCAAGCTTGGTGAGTCGCACAACTACTCGTTTACCAATGCTAAGACCCCAGCAGTGTCTGGGCCTTTGCGTGGTGAGTGCGCTTACGAGAATGACTCGACGTCGACGCTCACCATTGGAGGCCATATTCAGCGCCATCGCACCTCCCATCGGAGGCGTTCTCGCAAGTTCGGGCGCGTGGAGATTTCTGTTCTTCCTCAACCTTCCTCTGTGCGGAATCGCGACGGTGCTCATCATCCTTTTCCTTCGGGTACGCGCCCCGAAGTCTGCTTTCATGTCGAAGATCGGCCGACTGGATTGGATGTGAGCGGTCGATCATCAAGCCATCATTATTATTCGCGCTCCTGACGGGCCTCTGACTCAGCGGTAATGCGATCATCATTTCGAGTACGACCTCTTTGTCTATCGGTCTCGCGTGGGGTGGCGTTCAATTTTCTTGGTCGTCGTGGCACGTCCTACTACCGATTTGCCTCGGCGTGATCGGTATCGTCGCGTTCTTCTTCGTCGAAGCCTTATGGGTAGTGGAGCCCACGGTATGTATTCTCTTCTCCTGCCCTTGCTTCATGCCACTCACGTTGCCCTAGGTTCCGTTTGAGATACTACATAATCGTACGACCATCAGCGGCTACCTGGGCACCTTCTTTCACGGTATCGTCTCGATGGCGGTCATATGTGAGTGCGGAATCGTATATCGTCGCGCGTGCGCTGACAGTCGCAGTCTATCTCCCGGTGTATTTTCAGGCGTCCAAGGGAGCTTCTGCGGTGCACTCAGGGGTACTTTTCTTCGGTTCCTCTTTCTCTATACCCCTGCTAGCCATAGGATGCGGGATATCCGTTCAGATCGTCAACCGTTACCGACCCCAAAACTACGTTGGATGGACTCTCATTCTCATCGGTCTCGGACTGCTGTCGACGCTGGACGCCTCAAGCACCGCAGCCCAGTACACGGTTTACCAGGTCATCGCTGGGCTTGGTCTCGGAATCGTATGGATCAGCACGCAGTTTCCGATCTTAGCCCCGCTTGAATTTTCCAATAACGCTCACGCTTTGGCATTCTTCACTTTCGTGCGATGCTTTGCTCAGGTTCGTGCCACAACAACGCTATTGGCCCTGGACCTTAAACTAACGTCCGCGCTGATATTGCTTGCCTTTAGAGCTTGGGAACCGTCATAGGGGGTGCGATCTTGCAGAACCGTGTTCGAAGCATCCTCCCCAGCTCGCTCGTGGAATCTTTACCCGCACACGTCGAAGTCAGCTACGCGCTCATCCCGCTCATCCGTAAACTGCCCCCACCTCTCAAAGGCAAAGTCCAGGAGGCCTTTGCCCGGAGCATCGACCTGATCTGGCGCGTGATGATCGGCATATCCGGAGCCGGTTTGCTCAGCTGTCTCCTGATGTCGGAGGTCGAGATGCGCCAGGAGCTGGACGATGCTTGGGGACTCGAAGAACGAAGACTGGAGTCGTCGGACTCCAGGAAGTCCTCCGATCCTGCCGTAGAGGCGCCCGCCTTGTAGGCCCGCGTGGGTATGGTCGGGCATGCGTCATCGAGTAGAGTGTAGCGTAGTCGAACTCGGGGATGAATAGATAATATGGTTTCCACCAACGGTGCCCTACCAGAATGAGCTTGAGATCGAGCGACATGTAACACAATGCTAAGGTAGGCAGCACGAGTAACGAGTGCTCCATTTCCTCAAGCTCGCGCTGAGCGATACGCCCTCTACAGCGTGACCCTCTTAGTGGCCCCTCAATCGAATGCATGGGCATTTCGAGTTTCCTAAGACCGCCGACTTGATTTGAAGCTTCGAGCACGAGCCATCCCTCTACAGCGGTGAATGGTCGTAGCCACGGCCGCAGCCACGGTTTGCAGGATACAATTGCTCGTCGCATGCAGTACTCGGGGGAACCATATACGCAAACAGAAGGGCCGGGCGGAGTCGCCTCGATACAGTGACAATAGACAGGGCAAAAACGATTACGCGGTACGGTAGGAAGACGGCGGACGATTGGGCATGCCGGCATGGGAGTGACCGTATGAGAAACGGAAAGAAGCGTATGAGCACAAGGGTCGCACCTTGTCGTAAATCTTCTCCACGGAAGTCATCTGGAGAAGGGGTTCCGACGCCGATGGCCAAGTCTGAGGCTGTCCCCCGCGCACCTTAGCGACGAATGCCTCGAGTTGGTAACGATACCTGCGAGATGTGGCGTGAGTAGCGCACACGAAGGCCGGAGTACCACACACGTCGTCCACCAGTCCTCTCCCAAAGACTCAAACTTGTACACCTTCTCCGTCTTCATCGGTCCAGAGGTAGGTCGGATCGTGATGGTATGCCAGAGGTGAGGGATCGGGAAATTGTTCAACTCGATCTTGCCTCCTTCGAGCTCGATGAAGGCCGTGGTCTTGAAGAATCGGGGGAAAACGCCGAAGGGTCCGCGTCCCGGCATGCTGAAGTCCACGTAGGTCTCGGCGCTCACGTCCCCGGACATGCGGTAGACAGCATGCATGCTCCGATCGATTCGTTTCGCGTCCAAGGGATGACCGACAGCCGAGGCGGAGAGGATCTCCTCCGGTTCGGACGAGGAGAAATATCGAACAGCGGAGAGCGCGTACACTGGCAAATATCGTCGACCTGGTGAGGCTATGTAGACAGCGTTTACCTCCCATGTCCATCGTCGCGCCTCCACCCAGATCAAACTTGTAGCGAACATCGTCCTTGAGGAAGAAGGAGCCGCTGAGCACGGATGGAACCGCGAACTCGGCTTTGACGCTCTTCACGGCCCCGAACTCTTTGCTTTCGACGATTTCCTAGACATCCAGATTCCAGAGTGAGAGCATCACACGACTCTCGCGGGCTCAGCGCTCAGTGACGGGGTGAACGGTGCAAGACGCCGCGCGGAGTTGCGGACGCACCGGAGCGGAGGTCACGTGCGGCGGTGCTGATTCTTGGGCGGCGGCTGCTCGCCGCCACATCCTAGGGGCGGCAAGGAGGTCCGGCCTCCCCTCGTTTCTTTCGTATTGAACTCCGATTTCGTGAATATCCGCAATGCCTCCATGCCTCGAACGACCCCCACTTTTCGTCAAACGACTGTCGGCCTTGCGCAAGGAGGAACTACAGCGACTGGCCGCCCACTTAGGGCTCGAAGAAGAAGGCACAGTGGCGGCCCTCAAAGCCAGGGCGAGGCAGAAGCTTCTAGCCGACATCAAGTTCTACATGGCACACCCCGACTTCAAGGCCCTGTTCACAAGGCAAGAACTCGCGGAAATCATCGACAACGCGTCGAGCACTTCGAACTCCACCTTCGAAGGTATCGCACGAGAAGGGGAGGTGAGACCAGATGAAGGCTCTCACCACGAGGCGGATGAAGACAGTAGGGAGTCGGAACCCGATAGCGCGGGCCGTGAGCGGAGCCCGGATCAGGAGGACGAGGACGAGGAGGACGATCCACAACTCCCACCGCCGTCGGAGGACAGGGGTGAGTTGTTCTTCCCAGAAGTCGAGGGCATAGGCCCGACCAGCACGCGCTCGCGACGGCCATAGGGCTGCCGGCACGTCACCCACCGAGGTCGCATATGCGTCCGAGGAATATGGGGGGGGGGCATATGCCCCCCTTTCCCCTCCCGCCGTCCGTCGTATATACGACGAGGACCATATGGTCGAGAGGCATTGCCATAGGGCGCCCGGTTTCGGAATCCAGCCATATGGCAGTGGAACTGACGCTCACCCAGGCGGTTCGTCTCCCCCGACACCTCCCACGTCCCCAACGCCGTCTAGGCAGGATACCATTAACTCCCAGGGACTCGAGGAAGAACCCCGTATGGGTCGCCAGTCAGGAGCCGAGCCCATGCAGGGTGGGCAGCCAGCGAGACGTCACCACCGTAAACGGAGACAGGACCGCTCGCGTCCGAGACACCGTCACTCTCATCGCACCTCCCCGGCTAGGAAGAGGAGGCGGCGCGATTTGTCCCCGGACCCGTTTGAGCAGGGTCATAGGCGGGGCGGAGAAGACTCGAACTCGCGCTCAGGGAGACGCTTCAGCTCGCCGTCGTCTTCGTTGAGCAGCCCCTCATCGAGATCCAAGACTTCGTCCGGGAGCTCGCGGACGCTCAGTCCCAGTTCCGGCAGGTCACGAAGCATGTCCCCGCCCTCCTCGCCCTCCCCCCGTGCGCGGAGAGCCGACTATCGCGACAGGCGCGCTTCGCACCGCGACCATAGGAGGGACCGCCATTCGAGGCCAGAGCACCGCATCCACCAGGTCCAAGAGTCGGCCAGAGGCCCGCGTTGCCCCCAACTCGTCAGAGGAAAGCAGGCGAAGGCGGACTGCTACTCGATCCCCGATCCGATCAGGAAGAAATTCCAAGAGGGATGGACGACCCACATACCCCTAAACTACCTCACCGACAAGGCTGTAGCCGAATACGGCTGCGACACGTCGTCGCTCCTGACGGACATGTATGCGGTCGTCCCGGCGAAGGGGCTGATCCAGGCGGAGAAAGTTCTCCCATCGGCGGGCGAACTGAAACTGACATTCGGGGAGTGGTACCAGGCGTGGAAGCGCCTGCTCCAACTCATCAAGACTTACTTCCGCCGTGACTACGAGCGGTGGAGGAAACACTTCGATCGCATATGCCGCTCCGATGGGGCCACATCGGATAACTGGACGCTTTGGCTAGCTTATGATGCCGAAGTCCGCCGCAGGTGCCACCTCGAAGGCATAGACCCCGGCACCTTCCACAAGCATATCTGGAGGAAGGTAGAGCCGGCGTTCGTCAAAGCGCAGGTGATGGCTTCCCTGCAGCCCTTTCGGACCCAGAACGCAGCGCGGAGCACCGGCTTCAAGCCAGACCAGCCACCAAAACACTCGGCGGGACGGTCCCAGACCTTCGCCCCGAAGCCGATCGACACGAGATGTTTCTTCTGCGGCGGGAAAGGCCATAGAGCGGCGACGTGCAAGGCAGAAACTCTCGTCAACGGCCAACCAGTTATGCTCACCCGGGGAGAAGAATCGCGGATAGGCTTCTTTAGGACGTCCCCGCTTGGAGCGGTCCCGAAAGTAGGCACGGGTGAAATGCGCATGATTCAAGACTTCTCATTCCCGCGCGATGACCGAACTCGATCGTCGGTCAATAGCGAGATAGACACGGATCAGTTCCAGTGCGATTGGGGCTCGTTCGCGGAGATGGCGTTGCTGGTCATGGAAGCACCGCCAGGCGCTCAAGTCGCCACGCTCGACGTCGACGCCGCGTTCCGCTGCATACCAATCCGCCCTGATCAGCAACGCCATTTCGTCGTACACTGGCGGGACCAATTTTGGATCGACCACAACGCCCCATTCGGCCCGGCTAGTTTGCCGGGCGTATGGGGCCGGGTGGCGGACTGCATGGCGGCGATTTATCTCGCCTGGGGAGTCGACGCCCTGAAAAAATGGGTTGACGACTTCGCATTTTTCCGGTATCCGGAGGGTCTCGATTCGGAAGGAAACCCCGGGTTCCGTTACGGCCTCGACGAGCTGATGGCGCTGGCGGAATGGCTCGGTTGGCCGTGGAAACCATCAAAGACTCACGATTTCGCGACAGTCTTCAAATACCTCGGATTCATATGGGACTTAGACAGGAAGCGGGTCTCAATCCCCGAGGAGAAGAAATCCCGATACTTGGCGAAACTCGAAGCTTGGAGGACAGGCGGCTCCTTCACGAGGAAAGAGGCCGAACAGGTCCTCGGAACTCTGGTGCACTGTAGCATGGTGGTGCCCGACGGCCGATCACGCCTGGTACACCTTTCGAGGTTTGCAAGCTCGTTTCCGCACGAGTCGTCCCCGTTTGTGAGGAGGAAACCCAACGCGCACGTCCTCGAAGACATGGAATTCTGGAGGGCCCAGCTCCAGCGATCGGAGTACGGCAGCACGCTGGCGGTGCCAACAAACACATCGTCCTGCGACCTATGGGTCGACGCCTCGACTTCCTTCGGGATAGGAGTCGTCGTGGACGGGACGTGGGACGCTTGGAAGCTGAGTCCGGGCTGGAAAGTCGAAGGGCGCGACATAGGTTGGGGGGAGATGCTCGCAGTGGAATTCGGCCTAAAAATGGCCATCGCGAGAGGCATCTCGGATACTTGCCTGGTCATGAAGTCCGACAATCAAGGTGTCATTGGGGCTCTCGAGGCCGGGAAGTCGAGGAACACAGAGCAAAACCGCGTTCTCCAGAGGGTGGTCTCGCTTATGCGGGCGGCCACCATCTGGCTAGTCTCGCAGTACGTCCCCTCGAGCCTCAATAGAGCGGACGAACCCTCGAGAGGAGTCACGCCAAAGGACCTACAGCGGTCAGAGGTACCAATCAGGATTCCTAGTTGTCTCTTGGGTCTCGTTACAAGGGCCGATTCATGTATTTAGCATTTGTCCGAGACGCTACAGCTTCAAGGGGACTAGTAGATAAGAGAATGAGCAGAGAGAGTGGAGTATACAAGAAGGGGCAGGAATGCCAACCAGAGGTTATCGAGGACGCGGAATCGGCGACGCGTCAAGATCGGGACTCCTCTCATGCGCACCACGACACCTCGGTCCTCGTCAACGCAGGTCAAGCATCGACACCCTCTGACGACCTCTCGGAAAGCTCCAGAAGGCGACCATTTCGCTCTACCCAGCACAAAATCCCGACGGGCGCACCTCCATAATCCGAACGGGATCAAGCTTTCCGGGGCGACGGAGGGTCATCTCGCCAGAGCATTGCGCCACGGATGGGCCCCATCAACGTTGAAGGGTTATAATGGTGCAGTGGGCCGTTTCATCAAATTCTGCAGAAGGGAGAAGGTCCACAGACAATTTTGGTTGCCAGCGGATGAGCTGGTCCTATGCGCGTTCGCGGCATCGAACGAAGGCCGCCAGGCCGGCAGCACGGCGAGGAACGCCATAGCCGGACTCAAGGCCTGGCATGCGGCACAGAACGCGGACTGGAAGGGCGGCAAACAGCTCAGATACGTCTTGAACGGGGTCGAGAACAGGCGACCACCAGTTTCTCGCTGACCGCCCCGTCTACCAATCAACCGCAATATGCTCCGCATCCTGAGGGCGAATCTCGACTTGACCGACCCAGTCGACATCGCTGTTTTCGCAGCCGCGTGTGTGGCCTTCTGGGGCCAATGCCGTTTAGGTGAGCTCCTCCCCTCCTCGACGACGCGAGCGGCCACAGAGAGGTCGCCATGCCGCAGAAACCTTGCCCTTCCCTCCCCAGCCTCACCGTCCCACGTCATCCACCTCCCTTCGACCAAGGTCCACTACAGCCAAGGGGAGGAGGTCGTTATCCTTCGCCAGCAAGGATCTTCGGACCCCATTAGGGCCCTGCGGCATCACCTATACTGGAACAACCCGAGCGACACCAACCACCTCTTCGCATATCGCACGTCGTTCGGCACGCGCCCCCTCACTCGCCGGTTCTTCATGACAAGATGCAATGCGGTTTGGACCCAATCCGGACTCCCAAGATTCACGGGGCACTCATTCTGCATCGGCGGCACTACGGAACTGCTTCTGGCCAGCGTTCCGCCCGATGTGATCAAGAGGGCCGGGGGGTGGTCTTCTGACGCCTTCCTCCGCTATTGGCGACTGGTCGAGGGCATCTTGCCTGTTCACATGCAGCTCCTTCCGCTAGGGGACCTCCGAGGCAAGCCCCGAAGATCTCGACCGCAGTGTGGGGTCAGCCGGGCGCGCGCGCCCCGTCTGGGGGGCGGTCTGGGAGAGCCGTCGCGCTCGCACCCGGCTTACGCCCAAGCAAGAGCTTCACCCACACCACACGGTGACTCCCTCAACGCGCCCTAGCGCGCAACTGCAGGCCCGCAGCCTGCCCAAGATGAAACATCATCGGAGCGCGAAGCAGAAGCAGCATTTGGCCCTCGTGTAAGACACATATCGGTCCCCCATGGTCCTATCCAGTTCAACGCTCAGAGCTTCCACATCGGAGGCGAGCATCGATGCTCATATGATAACTCGCATCCGTTGCCGTGGTGCTGATCGCTCGAAATTTTCAGGAACCGTATGCAGTCCAACGGCACCAAGAGAAGCAAGCTTTCTCACCTCTGGAAAGGTAGGTAGGTATATTTTCGGCGCGGTCCCAATATAAATGCAGTCTTTTGCGCGTCAAGGTGGCTCGGCGGTGCACGGTGTATAACCCGATACTCCGAGCTACTCGTGTCTTGTTGCAAGACCCCAACCCATCAGTTATAGCATTCTTGTGCCACAAGAAAAATGATGTCTTCACGGGTGCTGAAATAAGTCAGATGTACCCCTCATCGTTGGCGTATATAGATCTGGCATGTTGATCATGTTTTATACCCCTGCCTTTGGAAGAAACCACGGATCCGTCCGATGTCGGCATCGACAAGATGTAAGTATAACGTGATTCGCGTCACGCCCGATTCGGTGCACAGTATCGGTCATTGTATTTTGGATATATGATAATCAAAGTCCTTCCTGCACCAATACTAGTCCAGCCGTCGTGGGCTTATTTAGGTTTGCGAGAACGGAAAATTTGAGCTTGTGGGTTCAGCTGCAGTCCAATCATGGCGAACAAATCGCGCAAAAGCGGTGAAGGGTTCTTACTAATGCGCATTGTGGGTGCACGGTGGACGTTCTTTTGGTCTTTACATATATCGTGCGTACTTCATTGTGTCTGCCCTAAGACGTCGCATACTTCCCTGCTGCCACGCGTAGTAGCGGCACCATACCTACTCGTCCACCACTTACATCTCAATACCAGCACCATGGAGCTCTCCGTTGTGCTCAAGATCGCAACATTTCTCGCCTGTGCTGCCTCGCACTACATTGGATTCCGCGCCCCAAACGCGCGCCCCTCGTCAGATGACGTCGTATACAAGGGCCAGCTCTTCGAGATTGTAGTGCGTCTGCTCACATCGTTGTCGCAGGTACGTCCTTTTGTCCTTAGATATTCGAATGTTTTTCTCATGTAGTTGCAATCATACAGGCCACTATCGTCATCTTTATCCTTCTACATTGCACTGTACTCGCGGCGGAGCAGTTTCATAACAGGAGTAGTGAACGCCTCCTCAGCATCCTCTGCCCGGCCTCCAAGCGGGAATCCGTCACTCTCTCCCTGACTTCCTTCAACTCCGTCTTTTGCGCAGGAGCAATGCTCATGATACTGAGCGCCGCTTTGCGCGTCGCGTGCTTCAGAGCTCTGGGACGACTTTTCACCTTCGAAGTCACAATCCGCCCATCACATCGGCTGAAAACCCACGGCCCATACAGCATCGTCCGACACCCCAGCTATACAGGAGTGCTGTTCATGCTCGTCGGAGCTGCCATGGTGTGCTATTGGAGAGGGAGTTACGTGGATGTTTGCGGAATTTGGTCCACACCGCCTGGAAAATGGATTTACGTATGGTATACTTGCGCAACTTTCGCGGTTTTCTCCCTGGTCAAACGCGGACGTGTCAAAGATAAAAACTTGCTGGAGATGTTTGGAAGAGACTGGGAACTCTACAAGGCTGATGTTCCGTACTCGTTTATCCCGTGGGCTTACTAGACCATCCCTCACGACCACCAGTAGATATCTGCCAAAGGTATACGGTTGAGTATAGGGAGGTAGATAGCAGACTGTGGAGAATTATGTTAACAATCAGATATGTATACTTACCATAAGTATGGTTGTGTTGCACTTTAAAGTAGGCATCGACTAGGTTCGATGTTACCGTCATGGCAAGATCTGTCCTTCAATATCCAGGCTGCGTATACGTGCTTGAAAGCCGCGGGCACCCCGCACGCTCAGTGGACCAACCCAAACTCGTCACACGAAGGCTAAGATTTCTGGCCGGAGAAATACCAGAGCAAGACCAGGCAACATGGTTGCAAGGGCAATATCGACACCCGGAACATACATACATTTCAAGGCTTAGTCTTGTCCAAGGTTTAGCAAATTGTATATGACATGGGAGATACCAGAGTAAGCTCGGGTAACAGTGGCACCGAGTGCACTGCATGCGACATAATATGATTGGAATAACTTAAAAGGGGTGTGGTATGTAGGTATATTTCCGGCGCGGTCCCAATAGCGGAACAACCGGTTGCCGCACCGCACGTCAATGTGGTGATGCAAAGCCGGTGGGGCTGGGCGACGCGATATGTGTTGCGCGAGGTCTCGAGGCAAGAAACAGAGGCTGCCGAATGAATGTAGTGTGGATAGGTAGGAGGGAGCGCGAGGCGCGCGATGAGGGAACGAGTAGACGTAACGGTCGGTGTCGGTAGTCGGTGTCGATAGTCGGTGTCGGTGTTCGCTGTGTCGCTCGTGGATGGATGGGAAACAGTGTGTATAACATTCAGACGCTGGGTGAGCCAAAATGCTAAAGTACTGTACATGAAAATCGAGCCTGATATACCGTCATCGCGGATCCGTGCGCGATCACTGCCGTCCCTCCTGATCCTCTCCTAACGAGTCCTGGCCCTGGCGGTATTGAGTCGATGGCCGCCTGCGCAGACGTCGATCATAGCCGTAATGCCGCAGCCGGGTCGTAGTGGGTCGAGGCGGTCGGCGAGCGTAGAGGAACAAGAGCAGAGGGGCGACGCGATCACTGCCGTCCCTCCTGATCCTCTCCTAACGAGTCCTGGCCCTGGCGGTATTGAGTCGATGGCCGCCTGCGCAGACGTCGATCGTAGCCGTAATGCCGCAGCCAGGTCATAGCGGGTCGAGGCGGTCGGCGAGCGTAGAGGCAGGAGACGAAAAGGCCATGCACCGCCATGGGCGTTGAGTAGCGCCAAGCGAGCCGCGCGCAAGACGGTGGCGTAGCCGCTGACCGGTCGGGATTGAAGTCGGTTCGGCCCTGCGTCATCGCCGAGCACTACATCAATACGCGCGGTTTCGCGCACACAGTGCATCCACGGCCCCCGTGAGCTGTTCTCCAGCAACACGCTGCTTCAGCACTGTGAAATGGGAGTCTTTTCCGGATCGTCAACGCGCATGCGACACGGCCTCGCGAGCTTAGGCCCCGTTCGGCTGGGGTTGATTCTGTGAGAATCAGGCGCCTGATTTGATTTTGCTTGACTTTTGTCCTCCTCATATGGCAAGCCCCTGTTCTATTATGTTAAGTTTGTCTCACAGTCTTACCGTTTATGGTATGCGAGCAGAGTCAAATCATCTGATTCTTCCAGAATCAGGCGTCGCCGGGCCTTACGAAGTTCAGATCGTGCATAAGCTTCGGGTGGCAATTCCCGGATCTGGACCATGGATCTATGAGCGCCCTCTGGTATCTGCATAATTCCTTGATTAAGTATTCCTATTGAGACTCCGGTGTCGGACACGCCGGTTGCCATCGGTTTCCCAACACCTTTCCCAACGTGCCCAAACCCCTCGATCTCATCGGATCTTCCTTTCGGGGCGTACAGTGCTTCCTCGGCTACTCTGTCCAGGTGCCGCGACGGGAAGGACCACGGTCACGATTCATTGGCTAACGTACCTGTCTTTCCAGCGTTCGGAAATCGAGGCTGAATCCGGACGCAGTGGCATAGGTCGCAGCCCCGGATAAGACTGCCATGAAGGACTTCTGGCGCTACTTGTCACGACAGCGACTCGTCACAACCCTATGCCTGGATGTGTACAGTGTAGGTCCTCGCCCGTACCCTGCTTGGAACGTTCGGTCACTTAGCTGTCCGTCGTGACGCGAAACCATGGATGGGCCCCGTCCTATAAAGATCTTCCCCCTCTTCCCCCGAGCGTGAATTGTACTTGCAAGTGAGACTCGGCAACGATGCTCACGTCTCTGCTCTCCGATTTGCCTGCAAATACGGCGCCGGCGGCTGTCGGCGCGTCTGCTCTTGGAGCTGTGAGTACAGACCGTTGTCGGTGGCGACCCGTAGAGGATCCTGACCATCGTGTCCGTAGTTGACTTGGCTTTATCTTCACCGGTACGACACAAGGGGGGATCATTTCGTCCTGTTCCAGACGGTCGTGATTGCTGCTCTGTATTCCGCTCTGCGCTGGGTCGCCGGGGAAGACGCGGTCAGGCGCCCGTGGTGGCTGTCCGCATTTATCTACGCTTCATACGCGTCGTCTGCGTTGGCTTGCGTGATCGCCTACCGACTTTCTCCGTTTCATCCACTCGCATCCTATCCCGGACCTTTGCTATGGCGAGTGAGCAGCCTGAGACTGTCGCAAGTCTCCTTGGGCGGCAGGCGACACTTCATCCTCGACGACCTGCACCGGAAATACGGAAAGTTCGTGCGGATAGGTGGGTGGTGACCCTGACCACGATGCTTGGCGTTCACAGACGTGCAACCAGGACCGAACACTCTGTCGATCAACGGTCCTGTCTCTCACTTGATCTACGGTGCAGGATATAGCATGGAGAAGGCCGACTCGTACAAAGCTCCGGGGCATCCCGATATGACGTCCCTGTTTTTCAAGATTGATAAGTCCAAGCACGCCCAGCGCAAGAAGGCGCAAAAAGCGGGTGAGGCAAACCCTAAGCACGATCGTCTCGCGTCTGCAGCAACTGATCCAGGGCCCAACAGCGTATCGGTGTTCCTTCCCATGCTCGAGCGACGCTCCTGGGAGCTCATGAGCCACATCGAGCGCCGTCAAACCGAGAAGGGCGTCAACATGTCCGATCTGTGCTGCCACTGGGCTTATGACTTTATGGTGAGCCGGTATACTCCCGTGGCGCGGCCGCACGGTCTAATCAAACCCGCAGTGCGATATGGTCTTCGGAGGCAGCAACAAGCTCGTGCGTCGTCTTCATACCGCGTCCCGTATCCATGGTGACATGGACCGCAGGAAATGATGGCGAACGGAGATCCACAGCGTCTAGTGGAAGGAGGGAAGATGGCAACCGTCCTCGTCGACAGGTGCGTTTCCCCTCGAGAGTAATCGCGCTGTCATTAACGAGAGCTCCAGCATCGGTCAATCACCGTGGCTGATGGACATCATATGGCATTTGCCATCTGGCAAGACGATGAGACGCCTCCAGATTCGAGCCGCGGAGATGATGCGTAACCGCATCCGTCGAACCAAGGAAGTCGAGATCAGAGATCTTTCCTCTTACCTGGTAAGCGTTGTCAGGTTGCTTCTACTATGCGATCAACGTACGATACTCATTTATGACGCTAGCTCGAGGGAGACTCGGGCACCGGTCGGCAAATATCCTTGCTCGATCTCGAATGGGAGGCAATAGTGGCTATGCAAGGCGGTCGGTTTACGCCACGTATGCGGTACTCCTCGACTAACTACGCTACCAGGATCCGACAACACCTCCACTGGCACGGCTTTGGTCCTGTACTTCCTACTGGCAGACCCGCGGTACTATAAGATGGCCCAAGCCGAGGTCGACAGGACGTTCCCTGATCGGAACGGGACGCTGAGCCACACCGTTCTCGCGGAGCTTCCCTTCCTCAACGCGGTCCTGAGCGAATCACTTCGTCTAGGAACGCCGTTCTTCCTTCCTCGTGTCGTCCCTCCGGAGGGTAGGATGATCGACGGACGTTTCGTTCCAGGAGGCACTATCGTGGCGATCGCCGCTTATTCGCAACAAGTTAGCCCGGACAACTTTTATCCCGACCCGATGGTAAGCGACATAGACATTTCGGCGTACGGACCCTTGCTGACGGTCATCGTGAACAGGACTTCCGCCCCGAACGTTGGTTGGACGGTGGCCTTGGGCCCGGCTCCATCACGAACAAGACGGCGCTACATTCGTTCTCGACAGGTAATTTCGCGAAATGACTTCCTCGAACGATGTTAAACTTCATGCCACAGGCCCCTACGTGTGCCTCGGCAAACCGCTTGCGTGGATCGAGTTGCGACATCTTCTTGCGCGTATACTCCTCACCTACGACATGGAACTGCCTGCCGACTTCGATATCGCGGGTTACCGGAATGGGATATTGAACATGCGCACGACGTGCATGGAGACGCCTCTCACCGTTCACGCGAAGAGACGTCCGGGCGTCGACATTGACCTACATTTGTGATCCTTTGAAAAGGGGTATCTCTCGTCTTGTGCTGTCGGAAGGTCAATCTCAATATTTGAGTGATTTATGGATAGTAAGCACGCCTCATCGGGGGGTGCGAGTGACGTCCCTGTCGTCTCAATCAGGTGTGGACTGCGTTGCGGGTGCGCCCTGGCGAGTACGGTGCTCGTCATGTCAAATCTTAAAATCACCTGGGTGTCAGCATGCGTCAACTAGCCAATCGAGAGAAACCTTACCGGCAATCATTTCGAAGCTAGCCTCTGCCATGCGTATTATTCAGTGGCTTGTGCAAAACGAGATTGTCCTCGTTCAGCTAGAACTTCAGAGGATCATCAATTTCATGACGATGGAGCAGTGACAACCATCCGAGACTGACAAGTGAAAATAGAGATCCTTGTGAATACCTCCCCGTCCTATACGGAGGTTGGGCGCGCCACAGTCCACTGCTCACGGCATACATGCGAGTCGAAACAACTTTGATTATCGGCATCGAAGCCATCGATATAGAAATCATTCGACGGGTCCGACCAATTCTTGTTTCCTGAAGCATCCGGGAGATGCTGCTCTTTAGATAGCACATCGTAGGTGTGCATGCAACTTACACCTGGCTGCATGCGTTTGTTGATACCCATCTAATCCACGCCAGAGCGCGTCATGTTGAAGAGACTGCTGCACCCATAGCCTCGTTGAGCGTGATTCCTGAAAGGGCAGGCATAACGCACGCGACGTCGCCAACTATGTCAAACCTTTCGTCCATAGGTCATCAATAGCGAGGCTTGGAGAGAATGAAGAAGTGACGCACGAGAGGGAGGCTCGGAGTCGAGGATAGATACGTTAACTAACCGAGAACGTTCGTAGCAAACTGCAGATCATGCCCCTACTTGAAAACGCGTCAATGGGCGGTATCATGACCTCACTAAAGTATGCATCAGTCAAGCATGAAGATACAGTTGCGACAGTGGCATATACGCCGAGTTGTACAGAATGTCCAAACGTGACTCCCTCCTACGAGCCGTAGATGCCCCGTTCAACGCTCGCGCTCGATTTGACGGCGGAGGGTGACGCACCGCGAGTACTCCGCGGCGAAAAGTTGCACGATTTCAAGATCAGAAAGATCCAGCTGAAGCAGGTGTGCCTTGCGTCCCGTATCACGCTCTACGTCAGCAAGCGTGGCTTCCCCTTTCGCTATATCTCGTGATGTGTTCAACAGAACAAGAACAAGAATCACCCATCGGCCCAATGCATATACGCAACGATGATCATTATACTTACAATGTACACCTTTGCATCACGCGAAACTAGTACCTTCAGCAGTGATATTAGTTGATCTTGTTCGCAAAGCATCACCAGAACTTTACCTTCGCGCCCTTGAACAAGGACCATCACCACTGATGGTGCCGGCGGTTGGCCTCTTCGCGGCTCAAGGGACAAGTACCCTCCGGGGGAAACCAACAACCGTTCCTCAACCCTATACCATCAGGAAAAACCCCATCTGGCAATTTTCTACATATATACATACATGGTTCATAATATGATCATATTCTGTCCAAATTGTCACAAAAAAGCCAAAAAATCTCATAAAACTGTCAAATCATGACAGATGACAGACTAATCAGAGGACTGTCTTATAGGTACAAGGGGACTTAGAACTAATAACATAGAAAATGTGGTTGCAGTGTCAATAACATTAGCACTGGTCCATGTCCAAGGGGCTTAGAGAACAAATGTAGATATAAGTGTTGGAGTTGGGGATTGATACTTGACTGTTGACACCTCACCCTGGCCTGGCCCCATCTGTAACATCATATCATCCCATATAGTAACAGCTTATATACTGCATGTACATCTGAAAGACAGAGATTTCCATAGCTAACACATCATGGTTATGAACCCTCCAGATTACTGATGGCCAGGAGACACTGTTGTGGTGCTTTTATCTCAGGTATAGTTAACTTGTCTCATGTCCCATTCAGCTATCACTAACAACTCGATGAGCTCAAAAATATCTGTATGTACTCTCGGACTGCTAGGACATAGCGACACATGTACGGTAGCCAACGCGGACTTAGAGATCAACGCGAATCCCAAATGTCACGTGACCTGGCCGTGGTTGCCGTCTCCAGCCCCACCGCGCTGGGCAAGTGCGCACAACTCAGCGCTGTCAAGTACGCCCCAGCGCCCGCGCTCCGCAAGTGCGCGCATCAACGCGCAAAATCC